TCCATAGCTGAGAGCAAGGCTTATTCCCAAGATTTGGATGCAGCCAGTCCCTATTTGCTCTGCTTGCTGCTTGAGTGATAATGTTATCGTGTGCCTGCGATTCAGTGATGTACACGAAATCAACCTAGTCTACCATGAGACTTAGGAGGAAGGAGAATCAGAGAAGGGAGGAAGAGGACGTGTCTCATTCTCTCCTTTCCAGGTCAAAGTGCCTCCTTGTTTGCTGCTGTATTGTTTCTATCGCTGTGGTTTGATGCACTGAGAAATTACAGAACAGTGAAATAAAAGCTGTGTTTTGTGATGCTTTTTTTCATAGGCTTATCACCTCTGGCTGCATGGGACTTACTCAGTTTGCATGGCCACCCACTGAGGGGGTAGTTGAGGACTGTGTGGGGCAAACCAGATTTTGGGCTCTGCTGCTATAGGTGGCATCCATCCTGCTGTGGTGAAACCTCAGGTCTTATTCACTCCCTAAGGCTGCAGGGTCAGAGCACTGATCTCCAGATCACCTGTGTCAGTTGTGACTCTTCATCTGTATCAGACACAAGAAGGCCCCCAGACTCAGGTTCTCTTGGGGAATCTCAGCAGTGTTGGGGATTTTGTACTTGACATCAAGAGTTGGAAGTATGTCAGTAAGTAAATAGAGAGCCCTTGATGACATTGTCTCCCATTGGAAATAAATGTTACACCACTGAAGCCATGCACCTTGAACTAGGATAAGGATTAGACCTGTGTGGAAATTTATACCCTTGAATTGTCAGTTCTTATCATTAGTTAATAACTTAGGAATCTGTTGGCTGATTTCATTTACTCTTTTAGGGAGGTAAGAAGGGCTGAATTTGAACATAGTACTGAGATAAAAGTGGGGGAATCCAAACTTCCTTCTTACAAAAGAAATACTGAGATATATATACATATATATATATATTTTTTTTTTTGTCAGCTAGCTAGTATGTATGTGTAAGCCAGTCAGCATACATGCAACACTGAAATACGAAGGACTGTATTACACAGCCCAAGGTCAGAGGACTTGGGAGGAAGCAAAGGCTTGGAAAGATTGTTTAGATAAAGGAAATTTGAAGGGCTGTTGCTGGGAAGGGTTTTGGGGACACACCACATGCATTCAAGGAAAACAAGCCTTTTGCAGTTCTACTGCTGGCAGAGGTAAATACCCAGTGTGAAGGAATCTTGAGGAGCTTTTGGTCTGGAGCAGTTAGCAAATAGCCCGGCCTATCAGCTGTCCCTCAGCAGGGACAAGCAAAGCTGATTTTCAAAGGTAATGCTTGTGCAGCATCAGAATGGGGGATTATAACGCAGGTAGCCTGGGTGGCATATATTTGCTTAATGAGTGTATAAGGGAAGTCCCAGTTTTCTGAGATCACTTAACAAGCCTGGCATTTCTTAGATTCTAATTTTTGGGATTCAGTTATAGTACCCTCTGCAGTCCAGCCCTTTGCTCTCTTTAACTCAGGCCACTTCTACCGCTGAGAAATAAGCACAGATTTTCCACATATTTCTCAGATACATATGACATAAGTTCCCTTCAGCATGCATAGCTACTGCTACCTGGTACTTGTTGCAGAGACTGGCTGTTTATCCTGCCTTTGATGTGAGTCCTTCCCACCTGCCCTCCGTTGCTCTGTTTTGCTTCACATTTATCCCCGTAAGCACCATCACTCTTTGCAGTGAAAGCAAGCAGAGGGGAAAAGTGAGGCGACTCGCTTGAAAGTCTTGGAGAGGCAGCAGCCCTGGTATGGTATATTATCCTTCAAACCCTGCTGGAAAGTGCTCCTCCATTTATAGCACCATCTCTGCTGGCTGGCAGTGTCTCAGTCTACAGGCAGAGAGCACTGCCCCCTCCCATGTGGGCTTCACAGCACCCGGGCACCTGAGAAAGCATTTTCAGCTGGGTGAGAAGGCCTTTGGGTTGACAAAGAATTTGGGGGGGAAGGGGGCAGCAGGAAAGGATCCCTGGGCACAGAGAACAGAGCTCTAATCCTGTGGCAGATAACATCATGTCTGCAGGCTAGGCTTGTGTGTGTTTGGGGGAGCTGGAGGGGCAGAGATTGTTAGGCAGTATTTGTTTGTAAAGCCACTTGCTCTGAAGATAATGCTTGCACTAACTTCTATTGAGGGAGCAGTGTGAGTCCCCACAAAGTCCTTTCCCAAAGTGTCTTTGAAGCCAAGAGCCCATTGAAAGGAAGAAAGGCCAAGAGAGGGGATTAGTTTGTTCAGCAGCTGTGAATTTCAGTGGGAGGCTGATGAACTCCAAAGTCTTTGTTGAGATGTTTTTTGTAAGGAGCCCTGCTGGAGGGAGAGACCCACACCGGGGCCGCGGCCTTAGACAAGAAGGAATCTGAAGCGGCGGGGAGCTGTAAACGGGCCACAAGGACTTTTCCCAAACACTTTTCGGAAAAGGTGTTGTAAAGAGATCGGAGGGGGATTAGCATGTGAAATGACACTTTCCATTGACTCCACTGAGGGGAGGGGAAAAGGGCTGGCTGGCTGATTTATTAGCATTTTGTTCCCTTCTCTATTCTGTTCCCCCAGCAGCCCCCCTCCGCTGTCTCCCCTCCTCCCGAGCCCTCTGAAGAGGCTTGGATTGGAAAAGGGAGCGGGGGGCTGCCTGTTTGTGTGTCATCTGGGCGAAGGTGACCACCTGGGAAGCTGAATGTAAATATTTCTCCTCTGAGGAATGCGCCTTCATTAAACCGAAATGAATACATGGAAGCATCCAATCCTGCCCACAATGGCAGCAGGGCCTTTACCGCTGAGGGCTCGGTGCGCCGGGAGGGGGGCCCCGCTGCTGAGGTCAGCACATTCTGCAGCTGCGGTGCCGCCGTTTCCCCAGCGGAAGCAGCGTGTGGCGGTGCGGCTCGCACCGAGGCGCCCCTCACGTCCCCTTCAGCGCCGGCCCGGCCCGGCCTGCGCCACGGCCTTCGCGGGGCACGGCTTCTACAGCTTTTCCAGCTGACTGTGGAACGGGGAGAGCCAGAAGGAAAAGGGAGGCCCATGCTGGAGCTTTCCCTGGTGGTCCAGAGGCTCTTGCTTCCTCTTTCCTGGCCAACCACAGGGACATAGAAGAACTGCTGATGGGGATGCGAGAGAGACCCTCGGCAGGCTCACTGTGCTAGTAAGAATCTCTGTGCAAACAGTGGTGGTTGGTGTGTGAAGCTGAAGTGTTTCAGTTTTTCCCCGAGCATAGGCCAAAATTTCTTGCAGTTTTTGAAAGGCTAGATTCTTGCTTGACAGGAATGCTCTTGCTCTGGTGAGACCCTAGGTCCAAATTCCTGCTCCCTGTGAGGCAGCCCAGAATCAAGGGCCTAAATGATAATGAAGAGACAAATACAGGCTGCTGAGTGTTTTTAATATATCAGCTGTGTCGTGGGCCGCTGGGCCCTGCCTGCCCCCCTCCCACCCCATTTCCTCCTGGCAGTTGCATTGCAGGTGGATGCATCCTCAAGCAAGCTCAGGAGAGAGAACATCCTTTCCTCTCTTGGTAGGGGCCGAGGTTGTGCTGGCTGGTTAGGTCTTCCTGCGCTCAGATGGGTAAGCAGCGTGCTTTAATCTGCAGGACTCTTTAAATTTATACATACACACACAAAATGGGATGAAGGAACACCCAGCCGCTTAGACACAGCATTTTGCAAGCACTTGGCTACTGATTTATTGCATTGGCTATTGGTTTACAAATAGTGGCTACAAGATGGGTCTAATGGCCAGTAACAGCTCTGCTGGCTTCTCATCTGGCTAAAGGACACTTCAAACAGCAAAGTAGATGATATCGCAGCACAGGGGAAGATTGCTGTGCTGGTGCAGTGAACTTCTCCAAGTCCTGCAGCTCACAGCTTCTTACCTCCCTCCCCTAGCCTCAGCAAGGGAACAGAGATGCATCAACTAAATCTTCCAGCTGCTTGCTTAGCCTATAGAATATATACAATAAGTGGTAGAGGAAAAACTGTTATGTATACATCACAGTAACTGTGCAATAAATTAAACTTCAAAGTGCTTCACTTTCCTATTTACACCACCATTAAATAGTAACTGACATTATTTTCTCAGACTAGGAAGAAGTATTTAGTTAGTTAGCTGACAAGGGTAAGGGTGCTTGGCAAGTACACCAGGACATGGGGGAGTAGGCTCAGCTTGGCAGCTCCTCTCTGGGAGAGATTGGGAGGAAGGAGGTAGTGGAGAAGTGTGAGGGTGTCTTTATAGCATTAGTCAGGGGTTCTGATAGGAGTGCTGGCCTAAAAAGGGAGACAAGACCTGCAGCTTGGAAGACACAGAGAAAGCATGTAAAAACCAAGTGATGGGACCCCTTTTTTTTGGACAGCTGTGTAATGGGCAGGTCAAGCGGCAGTTTTGATCTTGCTGATGGCATTTCAAATGCAAAGTAAAGCACTGGAGAGCTTAGTAAAGCTGTCAAAGGGTGGGAAGCAAAGCTGTGGGGTTCCTGGAGACTGGCTTGCTGAGAAAGGAGTTGCATGCCTTTTCTATTTCCTCACAGTGTAGGCCTGGGATAACAACTCTTTTAGTACTTCTATATTTTAAAAGCCTCTTCTCATTTATGGATTACTGGTCTAAGTTGCCCAGTTGGTGCCATCTCAGTTTACTTTTTATCTCACGTACTCAAAAGCCAAGAGTAGGTGCTTGTTTGGGAAACAGATAAGCTCAAAACTACGGGAGAGCCACCAAGACCTCCTATGTTTTCAGAGATAATGCCACAGTCACTGGATAGAGTAATACTGAGTTGAAGGAACCAAGTCTCACCTTGTTTTGTCAAGACTTGAAGGTCTCCCCAGAAGACATTACCCACTGCACTAGTGCCCTGTATGGGCAAGGCTTGAGCACTCATACGAGGCTCTTTTGCCTTGCCCAAGCCCCAGTGATGCAGCAGCAGGAATGAGACAAAACTATGCCAAACAGAAATGGTGCCAGGAGCTGATGGGAAAGGCAGGAGAGGAGAGGGCCAGACAGGACTGTGGAGGAGCAGAAGCAAGTTAGAGCTTTCTCTTGAGCTTGCGGCTGGCTCCACCACCTCCACTCCGCTCCCTCTTCTCCTTGCGGACACAGAAGTACTTGGTGACCCGTTTGCGGCACTGCTCACAGCGCACAGCACAGCACCAGTGGAACTTGCAGTTGCAGCTGGACACCATCTCAGCTCGCCTCTCCTCCACAGCCAGCCCGCAGTCCCCACACAGCCGCCGGCAGCTCCGCTTCTCCCACTTGCTGAGAGCCTTGCCCCGCTTAAGGCACTCCCTGCCCTCCGTGCCCAGCAGCCCCAGTGTCTTGTTCTCCAGGCAGTAGTCAGGAGAGTCTTCCAAATGGACCAGTTCCTTCTTGGAGATGGAACTGAAGGTCTCAGCAATGGCACCCCGGCTGGCAGCACTGTTCCCTGCTCCCTGCAGCAAGTCCACCTTCAGGGCTTTGTGGTACCTCTCCTTGAGGTAAGTACCCACCTCTCGAAACTCGGGCAACTGCAGCCAGCAGGTCTGGGTGGTGCAGCTCCCCGACACACCATGGCATTTGCAAGTCCGCTTCATGGTCCCTTTCACTGCCTACAGGGTGAGCAGAGAGAGGGGTTCAAGAAAGAAAACCCAGAGAGGCTGTTTCTATACTGCAATATATGCAGAAACATGGCTCCAGGCCTGTGGAGCAGCTTGGCATCACTTCTCCCTTCACAGATATGCTTTTCAACAGTGCTCCGCTCCTTGAAATGGGAGAAAGAGGACTGCAGAAAGTCAACACTGTAACACACAGAAGCTTTGCTGCCTTAGAGCAGACATCATTGTACTGCTGCCATACCCCCAAGAAGCTGTTTCTTCTGGACATATGCTTTTAGCCACATTAAATTGTGACTCTCCACAGTGAATATTTAGAGCAAATTTGGTACGCACTATCAGCTCTGGAGGGAGAAAGGGGCTCACCTTTCTACCTGCCTCGTTGTTATGCAGGTTCATAGCAGCTCTGGCATCTTGTCCAGTCTCCAGGGCATCCACAAACTGCTTGGAAATAGCTTCCCCAAAGCCCACATTATCGCTGCAGCCTCCCCACAGCCAGCCTTGTCCCCCTAAGAAAGGAGATGAGATGTGTGCTGTCAAAAAACCTTCAGAAGTGATGGGAGGGAATGGAGGCTGTGGGGAAAATCCAGCTTTTCACTGCACAGTGCTCCTAGATTCCCTCCTGTTGAGTTCATGACATTTCTCCTGAGACCTGGATAGTAAGTGGCTCAGGCAGGCAGCAAAGGGGTACGTTGTGTACAACAACAAATGCAGGGCTTTCCAGGCTTTCTATAGAGTAGGATTTAGAAGCTGTCAGTTATCATGCATTAGCAGACGTGCAGATAAGCCTTTGCGTCTGGCCTTTGGGGGGTGATTAGAGAATCACCTCTCAAACCCTGACTTCATCTGGTTCAATGTGACTTGCAGGGACAGCATCTTGCTAACTTGGATTGACAAACTGGTGGAGACGTCCTGGTCAGAGGCAACAGATTCCCCTCTGCCTAGAACAGCCCAGGCCTGGAACACGTGCATCAAGGAGGCCCTGGTTTTGGCACACACAGAATTCTGAAATGATATTTGGCATCTTAGAAGGGTCTGATTTTCTAATTACCGTCAAGAAACAACGGAGTCAGTACAGAACTGTGAAATTACACAAAAATATGTGGAAGGTACTTTTCCTAACTGAGTGGGAGCTGAGTGGGACTGGAAAAACACCATGCAGTTTTTTCCTCCTAGAGAAAGATGCCAAATTATTAATGAAGATTTGAAATCTGTAACATTCTGAGCCTGACATGCCACATCAGTATATCTTGGGAGTCATGGTTTAAAGGCCTTGTGCCTCTCTGGAAAGGCCAAGCCCTTGCCTGGACCTTCCCAGGGCATCATGATTCCCCCTCCCAGGGAAAGACAGTAGTGTTTCATGGGAGGTGGGTAATTCCAGTCGATGATGTAGTCCAATCAGGAACTGAGACTGAAATAGGAAAACCTTTCACCAACTTGGATTCAGTCCAATGGCTGAATTGAATCATGCTGTTTTGGTCAAGCCCAGAAGTTTCCTGTGCCTTACAAGGTTTTAAGTCCACAATGGAAAGTTTTTATTACAAACAAATCTATTTGGGGGAAAAGAAATGTGGCATGACTAACTTGGTTTTCCAGAGAAGATAGAATTTGATGAGTTGTTGCCCAAAAGTCTTGCTCTGCTAGAGACAGGCATTTCCAAACTTTGGACACCTAAGCAGTAGTGACTGTTTTCAAAACTATCAGCCAGTAAAGTAAATTACTAAATACTGGACACTCCAGAGGAGTTTGTCATAAAGTGACACATACTGGCTACCTAGTGTGGCTGGGAAGGGCATGGCTTTTAAAATATTTTGATAATTTGAAATTTGACCTCTTTCTATTCAAAACAAAACCCCTAAATGTCAGTGTTTTCTGTGAAAGCTGAGCAGAGATCTGGAGTGGTGCAGTCTGGAGCTCCCTATCAGTGGTGCTGGGTGGCTGAGGGCCTGGATACCACTGTCATGTGATGGCTGTGTGCTGCTACAGTGATTCTCCTGGTTGAACTCTTGTGTGCCTGCCGTGCTGATAAGTGAGAGAGAGGTTTATGAATGCCACCCTGCTTTTCCTCATGGTCATTGTGCTGTGGGGCCAACCTGGTCCTGCAGACCCTGGGAACCCTGAAGTCCCTGACCTGTCCTGCTATACCAAGATCATTCAGGTACATGGCAACAGATCCACTCCTCTGCCTGTATGATAAAGTCATTCTCTCCAGCAGCTTAAATAGAGTTCCTGATTTGAAACAGGGGTACTGCAACCCCTTCTACTTTCCTGCTCATTTAGAAGGTAATGGAAAGCATCAAAGAGCTTAGCTGGTGTAAACTGGAGGTGGCTCCATTAGCTTCCACAGAGCTACTTTGGTTTGAACCACAGAAGGCTCTGCTCTGAGCATTATTCCTGGTTGTGGGGACCAGGATGGGGAAGTGTTTCTCAAGCCTCAGTGGAGGAGAGAAGAGCTTCTCCTGCTACCTGGGACGAGTGAGGAGCAGCAGCTCATCTCTCCTTACCCAGTTGTCCATTGCGGGAGTCGTCACAGCCACAGTTGTCAAAATCCCCCAGGCTGCAGTTCCGGGTCAGCGTGTACATGACACCCGCAGAGCTGATGGCATGGACAAAGGCTGTTTCTCGGTTTGCTGTCAAGGGGGAATACAAAGAGAGCAGATGTGCAAAAGATTTCATGGCAAGGGCAGTGTTCAAAGTTGTTCCTACCATGCAGGAATCTGTACAGGACATCTGCAGTGGGGAAGACTGGAGTGAAGAAGAGGCCCTACATGCCAGATTAGCTTAGTTTGGGCCTGAATTGCATGAAGATAGAAGCTGCCAAATATGACCCAGAGTGACTCATGCCATTTGAAAGAGTATGGATGAGATAGCACCTGGCTGTCCTTGTGGGAGCTCAACAGTGGTGAAATAGCACAGACAGCCAATGTTCCCCACCTCTCACTAACACACCCCCAACAGGAAGGGGTCCTCTCCAAGTATCAAAGAGCTCCTTCCCCACAGTCCCCTCTTACAGAGCCTTACCTTCTGCTGAAAGGACTTTGAGCAGTGACCATACCTATCCACCAGGATCAGTCTGGGAATCATCAGCTGCCTTCACTGAGCCTTTGGCTTTCATTTAGTATCAGCAAGGTGTGGATCTGAGCACATAACGTTGACAGGAATGATTTGAGGACCTTCTTGTGGTCTCATAGCGGGCCTTGTGCTGCAGCTGTCTCCTCAAGGCCCCACTTTGAAACCTTTGTCCACCTCTGCCTGGGGCTCTGGTCTTTTGTCTGCTGCCAGTCCCACTAGAGGCCTGAGGCTCTCCTCCACACCCAGGTCCTGCTTTTACAGAGCAGGTATGATCCCAGCCCAGCATCAAACATAGGTCTAGAGGGCCAAATATGCACCAAAGTATTTCCTGGTACTAATAGACAAATAGGTAAGGAATAGGGTACAGTGACAGTGACCACTGACCCATGCCCTACAGGTCAGGGATGCTGGATTTTTGCCTAGGGTGATTCTGGCATCTGGAAGATGTAGGAAGACTTTTCTCCTGCCTCTTTGCCAGAGCACAATCACTGATGAACTCTTTTCTGCTCCCTTTAGCCTTATCCCTCGGCTTGCTGTCCAGCCAGCCTTGCACTGGTTCTCAGCCTCCCTGGGATGCTCTGGGACACCATCTAGGCATGGTGTGTCCAGCAGGCCATGTGCAGGTCAGGGGGGTGCATCCTTGTGGGGAGGCAGTTGTGTGAGGGTTGGTCCTGCACCAGCTGGGGTTCAGCAGGTCCCTGAGTAAGGCTGGCATTGCAAAGAGGCCTTGGAGCTAGATCCCAGTGTATCTGGGAGCTGATGGGTGAAGGAGTCCCCTGGTAAGATCCCTCTGGGGAATTCCTGGGAGAGGCACTTCCCAGGTGAGAAGGGGGAAGAAAAGGAGGCACTTGGGAAGAGAGGAGAGGGCCATGGGCTCTAACCTGTGGCAGGGGGGTCCCAGTAGTGGTATCCAATGCTTTCCTTACCACTGCGCAGCCCACCGTGGCTGGAGAGCTGCAGTGCCCTCTCCGGGCAGTTCCAGCGGTCCCAGGCGAACTGGAACTTGCACTCTTCGATGCCGCTCTGCGCCCCAGCTGCCACACTGCTGGAGTAGATGAGATAGGCCTAGGAGCAGAGCTGAGGGTCAGCACGGGGACAGTGCATATTTTCAACTGAAAGTAACCTGTGTGCCATCTTACAAAGACAAGATGTACTGAGCTCAGAAGGTCTGACAAGTTTGGCTTGCCTGGGAAGCTCCCCACTAGCAGCAGCAAACCCATTTTCTGCTGTGCTGGGTCAGAGCCTGAGCCTCCTGAGGGAGAAAGCTGAGCTCTTGGCTGTTAGCCACATTAGGAAATGTGCCGGCCAGCCTCTGCCATGGGCAGCTCCTTATCTCTCCACCATGAGAGGAAACAGCTTTCTGCTCAGATTAGGGAGCTCTAGGCCAGCAGATGCCTCAACCTGCCTTCTTCATCACAGCCCATGGGGGAGAGCTAGTGCTTTGGGAGAAGGTTGCTCCACCAGTGTATTGGGATCTGGATGGGCCTGCAGCTTTTCCTAGGGAAGAACCAGAACAAAATCTGGATAAATTTTACAACTGGTCCTGGTGAAGAAAAAAAGCCTCTGAAAGAGGAGCACAAGGATGTGAGGGGTCAATATGGAACAAAGTCCTGGCAATTCTAGTTGTGCTCCTTGAGGAAGTATGTTTTACAGGCCCTACAGAAAATATTTTCTGGTTGGATCAGTGTGGGCCCTGATGCCAACCTGATCCTCAGGAAACAATAGATATTAGGTGAGAGCCTTGGCTGATGTCAATAGACAAATCTCCATAATCTGGCCCCAACTAGCTTAAAAGAACCCCAGGTCAGCATTTCTCAGGGCTCATGCAGCCCAAAGAGCTCAGAAGTTACAGCTCACAGCAAATCTTTCCTGGCCTTTCTTTGCCTTATTGCTGGAAATCTGGGGGTGAGGAGAACTCTAACCAAGGCTGGGTGGAGAGGACTGGGAAGGAGGAGACCCACTCTCTCACTCTCTCTCACTCTCTCACTCTCTCTCACTCTCTCACTCTCTCACTCTCTCACTCTCTCTCACTCTCTCACTCTCTCACTCTCTCACTCTCTCTCTCTCTCTCTCTCTCTCTCCCTCCCTCTCTGCCTCTCTCCCTCTCTCCTTCCCTCCCTGGGTTTAGTGGAATCAGGGACAGAGATCAAAGGGATTTCTCTTACCTTGGGGCCCGTCATCAGGAAATTATTCACTGACCTGGAAGATAGAGACAGTGTCAGCAGGGAGGGGGTGATGGCGGAGGGGCCTGGGGAATGCCAGGCATCCCAGGGCTCTCCTCTCACTCCCCTACAGTCTGCCTGTCTCTCCTGGCTGCAGGCACCTCTGGTCTGTCCTTCATGTCCTCTTGCTGCTCCCTAAGGTACAAGACAGTGCTGTCCCCTTCTCCACACCCTGCTCCCCTAAGTCAGGCAGTACTGGGCTGCAATTCCTTCATTGCTCTCTCCTTTTGCTTTCTTCTGCGCAGCTCCCTTTGTACCAATCCACCCATTATTTAGCTTTCCTGTTCCCCATGCCTTGCTTTTTATCTCACTTGACTAAACCCAGGGTAGTATTTTTCCCAGCCCTAGGAGTGGGACCATGCTGAGGGAAGGAGGGCATCACACCACTGCTCCTTTGCAGTATGTGTCCAGATGCATCTCTCCACATCACTGTCCCTTGTTTTCCAGTGGTGCTGTGTCTGACTGCCCTCCTCTTGGTCAGGTTATGGCAATGACTGAACACAAATATACATGTCCTTCCCATCCTCCTGGACACTGTGTAGGGGACCCTGGGGATTTGGGGTGGGTGGAAGGTCCTAGACAAAATTAAGCTTTCTGGTGTTCCCACTGAAGGTATGGAGGGATCACCTCCAAGGGTCAGGCAATGTGGCTTGTCTCCAGTACTATCTCTGTGGCCTTGCAGGACTGATGCTGTCTGGTCTGAGTCTTTCCCCAGTAAGACTGTTTCTGTGCAAATGGTCAGTCAGCATTAGGATTCCATATGATGCAGTGACCACCTGCAGAATTTGGAGAATGACTGGGTGAATCCTGCTTAGCTGTGTCATGGCAAAAAGGACTGACACTTTGAAAGAGTCCAAGAGCCAACTCCAAATATCCCAAGTCAGAAATGAAGTAAGAAAAAAGAGAGTCTCCTAAAAATACTTAATTCTACTCTCTCCAGATTTGTAAAATAACACTCATCACTATTTCTGGTGCGTCTGCGGAGCATTTTCCCTTCTGGAACCCATCATGTCAGAGAAATGGGTGAGTGCTGTTATCACCCAGAGAGGACACTGAGGCCAGAGAGGTGGAATGAGTGGACTGAGACCTCACAGTGAGTGAGTGATTGGGAAAATGACAAGAGCATGCACTAATAGAAACTTGGCTCTTCACTTCTCAAGATTATGTTCTGCTTCAAATAAGCCACAAGTATTCACTCCTAAGGGAGAGAAAGATACTGTCTTTTTGTGCTACAAATCCAGCACAGACACTGTGGGGGGATCCCAGGGTGGGCTCAAGCACAGACAGAAGCAGGCACTGTTGTCCAAGGCTGAGGGTCAAAGTGCAGCCCTGCCATAGACACAGGGACAGACAGGGTGGCAGGGCTGGTGCCCAGACATCAGACATGTGAGAGATTGAGAGAGGATGCTGTCCTGCCCTGGAAAACTACTTGTGCAGTTAGCAAGCACACTACACCTCCACTAAAACTGCACCACAGAGATCCTTTTTAAAGTACAGCACAAAAGGAGGTCTCATTATTTTAGCTTGGTCAAAATCACAAGAAACCTAATCTTTGCTGTTAGAGTTTAGAAAGAGTTAGGAGAATGAGTTTGCAACATTTCATTTTGGCAAGTCTAGCTTTCCTTTGTGGGTTTTTTGGTGAAAATGCGTTTATATTGATGAAGCTTGTTTTGGGAAAGATTCCCCTGGGTCAAAACAGGAGTGGGCTGTGCCAGGCACTGCAAGAACAGGAGATTCTTTCCCTTTGTTCCAGGCTTGGGATTCAGACCCGGCTGTGCTCCAGTCCCCATGGCTACTTTAGCATCAAGTCGATGGTTGTTTTGCAGAGGAATTTTCCTTTGGGAGCTGCTTCTGCATTGTACAGCTAATTAAATATTTCCTGGGACTTGGAGAGACGGCATCTGTAGCCGAGTGATTAGAGCATCGGGTGACCTGAATCACACAGGGCCATGAACCTGGTGCTAATCAGACTGTGTAAGCTCCATGGGTCCCCATCCTAACGCAACTGGGTAGCAGCATGAACAAGTCATTTTTCCATCTGGTTTCCCTTCTGTCCATTGCCTTGACCTTAAGTGCTTTGCTATGGGGACCACACTCAGGATGGTGTCAGTGTGAATCTGAGCCTCCGGTAGCAGCTGTGAGAAAACTCTGGTAAAATGCTCCTGCATAGGCAAGAGCTAGAAAATTGCAAGTCCTCTCTTATTTTGCTTTTGTCACTAAAACAAGAGATATATCCCATCTGCATTGTTTCCCATGTGGGTAGGAATACCCAAATTCACAGTGTATAGGCGGGATTTTCCCCAAACCCTTGGATTAGGAACATCTGAGAAGTAGAAAGGATGGTTTAGGAGGAGGATGGTAATCCACAACATCAGAGTTCACAGCAAACCAGCCTGTTAGCAGGAGTCAATTGACATGACTGCATTGAAGCAGAGGATCCCTTCCTTCCAGGATAAACTTCAAGGTTCACAAAAAGGCCAAGTTCAGGATACGCCAGTTCTCTCTCTGCAGCTGAGCAAATGATACAGTAGCAATTTCCCAGCAGGATATTCTAAACAGTTTGTAAAGTCAGAGAGACAGAAGGCATTTTCCTTGAGCTCTCAGATCAACCGGCAGGCATGCTGCTGGCTGGGTTCGTAGGACTAAGACAAGTAAAGGATTCACAAAGTTTCAAGTGTTTGGTGCACTTGATTCCCCAACATTTAACTCTTGTAACTGCAGGTGGGTTCAGGAGAAGGGGAGATGGGACTGTCATATGGCTGGAGGCTGGTTGAAATTTTTCTTACTTGTGTTGGGTGCGAAGGAAAGATAATAATAGAGACAAAATCTGTGTGCTGTGTCTTTGTTTTTATAATTTAGCTAAGAAAAGTTTATCTCCTTTTTGTATATAGTCTCCAGTAAAGGCAGAGACCAATTAAGCCACTACTTACACAGGTGTAGTACAGTAGTGACAGTGTCTCTAGAATCATCTCTGTGCTGCAAATAGGAATCATTCCCAACATCTCTCTTCATTATTTTCTCTGTAGTGTGATTTTTAAAAAGATATTATGTATTTCTACTAGATTTTCATTTAATTGTAAAGGAAAGCAGAAAGTAATACTAAACTAACAAAGCAGTTGCATTCATAGCTGGCGTTAACCAGCCCAATTTCTATCACTTGGGTGATTTTTTGTATCACACACATGAAAAGAGACAGTTGAAATAATTTCTCTTCTTTTAGAAAGCTTAGGGAGTTTCTAGGTGTATAAACCCCTTTCCCTCCATCTTCAAACTCCAGGACAGCATTACACAGACTGAAGTGGAGCAGGCTCATAGCTAAGCAGGTAGAGGGAGGAAACCCCTGAGTTCCTCTCCCCCTCCCCAGGCTGTGCAGGGCCCTGGCCAGGGCATGCTGCTTCCCTCAGTACAACTCTGTGTCTCCAGGTAAAAAGTAAATCTAGGGCAAGAGGTTTGCATTAGCTCCAGTATTAGAAAATTATCTCAAAGCTTGTGAATATCTTCAACGGGAGTTTTCTATCATAGTTTTATTGAATCTGAAAGCAAAGAACACTGCCGAGCAGCTGTCCCATTATATTTTACTCATATCAAATACTAATAAGCCTCTGATAATTCTGTCTCAGTTACAACTTTAACCAATAATATCACACTCCTCAGTTTAGCATCACACTCCTCAGTTTATTATGCCCTAAGAGCCTTATCTAATCTCTCATTATAATATTTGTCTGATACCTTACCACCCACTCAGGCTCCTGTGCTGCTGGTTCTGCTCTTTAGAAAATGATAAAGCTGGATTTACATCTTCACTGTCATTATTGTAAATAGAGAAAATGGATACAATTTCCCTTTGGATCTGAGTTTTGTTCTCAATATGAGCTCCCCAAGGTTATTAGAAAATCAGGGAGGCTGGAAACCAAAGGCAGTCCACAGCTGAAGTGTAAAAACTACATTTAGAAGCAAACTACTGAGTTAGAGATCTTTGTATTATTCCCATGAGAGAGGAGACTGGGCAACAGCTCAATAACATTTGGAACTTTACTTCTTTTTTCTTAATTTTTCTCTATTTCGTTATATTTATTTTGAGGATTTTGTTCCTAAATGCAACCCTGACATTTTGATCATCTAGAAATAATGCACTGGTTGAATGGTCCATTAAATGGTAATATCTAATCCACACTCAAAGAAGGGAAGTGGCCACATATATATATAAACACTTCTTGTTGTTGTTCTATATTGCTCCCTGCCATGCTCCCACTCCCAGTACTATACAGGAAAAAAATGACATGTTAAGCTGTTGGATCAGATAGAGAAAACCAGCACAAATTTCAAGCAGAATTATTTGATGATTCCCACAGATTCATCTTTTTTCTGCTTAAGAGTTAAGGGTGTGTGTCTGCAAAATGTTAATTTCAAATAAAGTTTGTAATTTTCCTTTCTCTATGGAGCTCATGACCTGTGAGCAACATGCAGAGAGAAGCGGGGTTGTCTTGCTCTATAAACTTTTCTCATAGATAAAAACTGCTGTGAGACAGGGAATTTAAACATCCAACTTTGGACTGAAAAAGTCTTGGATTTCCATATTTTGCTCTACTTTGTGCACTGAAATTTCTCTCCGTTGAACTGTTTCTTTAAAACGTTGGGGTTTTTTCTTTTAACATATTATAAAACTGTTTTTATTGAGTAAAGCAAGACACATACACAGGAAGAGCAGAAAAATAACAATAAAATCAGCATTGCTCTTGCCTAGCCTTTCTGTAGAACATACATATTCCTCTTGTTCCAGAAGAGAGGTTTATCTTGAGTTTGCGGCTTTATAGTATTTAGACATAAACAGATTGTTTATATCTTCATATTCCTTTAATGTAGGGAATAGAAAATCTCTGAAAGAACATAAATTTCACTTCCAGACTAACAGGAATAAGTTCCCATTTACTCTTTAATTTCTCTTTTTGTAATTTTGAATTCTCTATCTGTGGTAATAACCCTAGAGATCTGCTGTAGGGAAGGCAGGGGATTTTAGTAATTGAACGGTAAAAGACTTTCCTTGCCGTTAGAGATAAGTAACCTGCTGAGCAGATTCCCCAGGGCATCACAGCAACTGAGAAAAATGTTTGGGTACTCAGTAAAAATCACATAGGAAAAATACCTGCAGAGACCATTTCCCTTTGGGAATGGGACTGATATATCCCACAAGGAATAATACAAGATTTGTTGCAAGCATAATCTCCTTCTGCTCACCCTTAAAGAATTTTTTGGGAAATAAATATAACACCGCTCTCAGGACAAAGCAAGAGGTCCACAGGAGATGGCCACAGATTTGTGCACAGCAGAACTGGTCTGATGGGACTCAGGTGATTGGAAACTGAGCTGTAGCAATCACCGTAGCAAAAGCTTCTCTCCAGGAATTCCTAATACATTAATTTCAGACATGTAATTCTGACCCTGTGTGTGCCAAAGAGCTTGGCTCTCAGGCTGCTCATCCAGAGTGACACTTCTGTGGATCTAACTCACCCCTGCGGGCTCTGAGCTCTTAATCACAGACTGTCCTCTTTGGGGAGCGTGAGAGAAGCCCCACTTGATTTAATTAAGACAAGAGACAAGCTGACTGGGAGCCTTTGGAAAAACAGAAGTCTCTAACTCTTCCATTGGGTTATCTTCCCAGTTGAAAGTGAGGGGCTAAGTCTCAGCATCCACTCTCCTCTATTTTACCACAGCTTACAATCTGGCTGTTAGTTATTTTTGGGAGGTGCAGGGGTAAAGGGGAGTTTCATAGATCTAATCTCTCTGCCAATTAGTGTGTAGAGACCTGGTTAAATATCTTTTTCCATTAAAGACAGAACTGAGATAAGTGAGAAAGAGGAGATGTTTAGGAAAGTAAAGAGGAATTTCCTTAGGGTATCTGGGAAGAGCACCTGCCTGTGACACAGACTGAGATGCTCTTGATACTCACCAGGCATAGCAGGACTGGAAGAAGGGAGTGAGGAAGAAGATGCCCAGATAAGGGTCCATGTGAAATATAAAATCCAAATAAAGAGGGAGAAAGGAGATCCTAAAAAACCCCGAACTTGGGCACCACCACCACCAAAGAAAAGGAAAAATAAAAAGAAGCACAACTAATTTAGGGAAGGGATGGAGTTATTTTCCACCCGGCAGTCCTGGTGTGATGAAGAGGCGGATGCCTCCTGAATCCCACCTTCTGCAAAGGATAACCAATCCTAAAGTAAGAGCTAAAGGGGGCTGGTGAAATGGAGCCGCAGAACTTCCTAAGAAGAGATTATCTACTTAATTAAAGATTTTTTTTCCCCTAAGTCCTTCAGCCAATCAGGACTCAAGTGCCAGAGAGAGATTGAACTGATGAAAAGAACACCCCAGGTTCCTCGAAGACAAATGCACCACGAAAGGGATAAGAGGGAGGGAAAAGGGGGGGAAAGAAAAAAAGAAAGGAAAAAAAAAGAGAGAGAGGGATAAAGAAAGAGACAGCAAATCCCTTAAAATAATCACTAGATTCAATCTCCATCAGCACTACCCTGGCTCTCCATTCCTGGCAAAGGCAACTGGAAGGGCTGTTTTTGAAGTGTCCTCTCCTCCTCCTGCTTTGGAGACGCTGCTGAGATGGGGTGCACTGGGTGCTCTGGGGTGGGGGGATTGGGTTCAGGCTGTCTGCATCTGCTGCTTGGGTCACAGAGATATGTGATCATTGTCTCTGCCTCAGTATCCCCCAGAAGTTTAAGGGGATCAAGGCCAGTTCCTACCTCCATCTGCTTCTCTTTCATCATGGTTACCTGCTCTTTCTTCCCACCTCCTCTTTGCATCAGGTCATCCTCACCCCAGGAGAAAGGCCTCTGACTAAACCTTCTTATTCCCCCTTAATTTTTTGCTTTTGGGATTTCCTATAAAGTCCATGGGAGGGGGTCTTTGGTTTGGAAGGGTTAGCAGTCTCTCACTGAGGGCTTATCCCAGGCCAACAGCTGCTGGAGCTACAGCATCCAGCCTGTGGCAGCTGGCCACATGAGACATCCCAGTTACTGTCACAGCATCCACCACAGATACCTTGACTGGCCCTAAATCAACATGACATGTCCCAAAGCCATAGAAAGATCTTCTCCACACTATACAATTGAATTTTGTGCTGTGGATATGATCACCCAAAACATGGGCTGAGACCAGTCCAACTCATTTCATCCAGGGCACAGCTACCATGCTGGACTGAGGCAGGATTTGAGGAGGACTGAAATCATGTGCCTGAGCCATTGCGCAGGGCTGGCCGAAGGTTGAGCTTTGCTTGGGGACACTTCAGGTGGACAAAAGTCTCTCCTGGGTTGCACAGTCTCAGGAAAGGAAAGCTGCCCAGCAGAGACTTGCTCTCTGATGGATTTTGGTCATCTCACACTGAGCCCAGCTATGCTTAAGTCGGGGAGCCCTGGCCAGGTACTGCATGTAGGACACTACTGGCAAAACACTACCTTGCCCAGAGGGCTGCCTGTCCAGCCAGGGCACCCCTTCACACCAGGCATGGCTGGTCAGTTTGTGGGTACCTAAAGGAGAAGAAAATGCAGGTGGCAGCAATTTATCCCAGGGCTAGCTGTGCCCCCAGCTGTGTCCTATTACAGCAAGACCTATGGTATTTGCACTCATTAAAAGCCTAGGTCCTGGAGCCTCAAGCATTTTAAAAGCTAAAGTGTTGTGTACGCTGAGAAAAAGCTTGAGAATTGTCTAGTAGAATATAAAACCCCAAAAACCAAAGGGTGAGGGAGATGAGCCTTTTATTTATTCTTAAATTATTTTTTAGGAATAATATTTTTAATGCTTAATTCTATTGAAACAAAATTTCAATGCTGTGATGTTTAGCACAGTTTAATGGTTTTGGTGGTCTAATTCAAGTAGTGGAGGTAGCTGTGCTCCTCTTCCCAGGCTGTCCTGGACTCGGTGTAGAGAGCAGCTGCAGAGGCTGATGCTGCCTCAGGGGAGCTGAGGGTCTGCCAAGGGGCTCAGTCCCACTGGGACAGGACTGGTGAGATGCAGGAGATGTCACCATCCTGTATTTGGGATCTATTTCTGATGGTAGAAATGGGAAGAATTTTCAGTTGTTTCTTGTAAGTCTCCAACAGTCTGTTTCAGGATTCTTGAGCTGGAGTTTTCACATTTCTCATGTCCAACAGCGTTTTGAAATCATGCAACATTTCTTGACCAATCGGAGAGGAAGGATACCATTGGGCTCACTGGGGTGAGCTGTTTTTGTTACTCTGAGACAAATTAAGTAAGAAGATTACAAAAAGCAGGAAAAAATAAGTAGTAGGTGAATCCAAAATAAACAGATGCAATTAATTGTTTTTATTAACTGTTGCAAGAGTCACCCAGGCCTTTGTCCAAGCTCACAGAAGCACCAGCAGCTTTGGAAACATCAGCTTCCTCTGCCAACATCTAATTCCAATTAAATGCAATACTCACTTTCCTGGAAACAAGCATGTTTTTTCAAATCAATGGAGCTGGAGGCAAAGTCTGAAACAAACCTGCCCCAAACATATTTTAAAGTACTTAATTACAGTTCTCAAAACCTATTTAAAAGATTCTATGAAGCACTATCTAAAGAAATGGAATGCAAAATTGTTCTATAATGTTCCTCAGATTTTGTTATTGTTACTGACAAAAGCTTGGTAAATTTACTAAATGGATGCAGAGAGAATTAAAATACATTTTATGGCCAGAACTGGTACCTTACCCCACTTGACCCTCTGGCCAATACAGATCTCTTCTGACCTTTGCACTGAGTACTGTAATGTGTGTTTGTCTATTTGTTCATCTCCCAGAATGGCAGCCAGGGCTTGAGGACAGCAGCAGATAGAGAACCTGCCAATTAATTCCAATTTATTAAAAAAAAAATAAATAGACATATATATATGTATGTATGTATATATATGTATAATATGTCTATGTTTAATTTCCAGAGTACAGAGAAAATCTGAACTATCCTAAAAGAGCTTGTACAGGTAATCACAAAAGTCAGAGAAAAAGTGAAAAATAAGGCCTTTAGCACTCTGTTGCCTTTCTCCCCAGTACCAATGCAACAGATGGATATGAAAAAAGAGGTTAAGAAGTGGGGGTAATAATTCCAAGCTTGGTTCACAAACATCTCATAAGTTTCTTGGTGTCAATTCAAAGTGCCCAAAGGACAGATTTGATAAAACAAAATGGCCATTAAAAAGGTCAAGAAAGAATTAGATATTTCTTCTGTTAAAAAGATATGTAAAAGGTATGAGATCAAACTAAAAGGAAATTAATCTTGTCTAGGAAATTAATCTTATCTAATCTTATCACCCCAGGACACTAGGCAACACACAGAATTCAAACCTGAAAGGACTGAAATGTCTCAGGAAGGTCCAGCTGTCAGTTCAGTAAGTGAATTTCAATTTTCTTGACTGTGTCTTTACCTTTTGGACCAACTAAATGTATCTTCAATAGCATCTAAAGTCCGTCAAAACATCCACCAGCACACCAAAAAGATGTACATGTTGCTCACAGTCCTATACTGAACATGCCCTGTGCTATTCTGTTTCTTTAGTCAAGTGGCTCCAGAAGCAAAGCCCAAATAAAGGCTGAGGAAATGCAATAGCATTCATGAGATCAACTGACGTGCAATGGAAGCAAACATGGAATTTTTAGCATTTCGGCTCTGAAAAGGCAGGAAAGGTGCTGGTGTGCCCAGAAGCCTCTCTGCTTATTTTTGTGTTTAGCTATATTAGTCTGAGATTGTGCCATTAAAGACAGTATTGACACACCAGAAGATCCTAATAGTGGTGTGACCTCTTGGCTGTAAGCTTGATTTTGTAACCTGGCACTGTTCCCCCACACTGTTCTCTGCATGGGTGACGCATGCAGAGCAGCCTCCTATGAGGTCAGCTTTATGCTTTACCAGTATTGAGAGTATCCTCACATTTGTAGGTTCTCTGTAAGGTTCATGCAGAGACAGCTCAGTGGATCCTTGTCCACTGCAGTGAATTGTGGGACGGGACACAACCATCACACATCATGGGAAGTGACTTGACCTGACGAAGCAGACCTGAGGAACACAAGAAAAATCTACTTGGGAGCTGCTTAAACAGGTACACTGTTGCACCAGAGACATACATTTTCTTTCCCTTTCAGGCTCTCAGTGCTCCCTTCAATATTATTATTGTCAGAAATACTTGTAAACAAAACTACATTTTGAACTGTAAGAATGAAGCGTTAAAAAGACTGCCCAGTGACATGTTTCAGACTTCTTTAGCTGGAATTGTTCACAAGCTCTGCAAGAGCCCTACATAACTCCAGATAACTTACAACTGGATCTCCTTCACCTAAGTCAGTTTGTTCAGTTTGGAGTCCCTTTTGTGAGGCTGACAGGAGGAGGTTCAGCTGAGGGATTTGTCCAACCCGCTGATTTTTTTCATTTCTGATTTGCTATGCGGTCTAATGACCGTGCAGCGGCATAAGCAGCTCTGGGTTACCCTGTAATTTGTCCCTCTGACGAGCCAGCCTGCCATGTCAAAGCCGGCAGATGGTGCTCCCAGCTTGGCCTGTGGCTGGGCTGCGGCTCAGCACTCCTGTGGAAGAGCATCCCTGGATTGCGGGCGTTCAGGGAAATTGTGCTGTGCTAGACATGGCCATGTCCAGCGCAGACAACAGCCTCTGCACAAGATCTAAGCTTAAAAATTCCGTTTCTCCAGACCAAGAATCTTGAGGCCTCAGAGTAGGTAAAGTCCAAAGATGGTTCTGACTGGTTGTGTCACAGCAGTGGTGTAGAGCTGCTGGTGGCTGTGCCCACAGCTGGAGGTCAGTAGTGCCACAGTGCAGCTGCTCCTGTGTGCTGGAGCACATTTCCCACAGCCAGCCACTGTGGCAGCCAATGAGACTCCTACCAACTCCTATCTGGCCTTAGCTCAGGGACAAGCAGATGCTCTTGAGTTCTCAGCAGTATGCACAGATCTGTAGCCACACTTTCTCACTGGTGTGCCCCTTAACAGGTCCTGGGACAAACCCCAAGATCAGGGACCAGCAAATCTGGCTCAGCTC